CGATTAAAGCGGTTTTTAACAATATGTCATATAGAGGTGTGAAAAAAGTGTCCCAGAACTCCCCTTTTGTCCCTACTACTCCAAGAAAAACTCTATCCACTTATTTCGATTTACTACCAGAAAAAATCGACCTCCCATTAATACCACAAGCTTTGCGAGCAGAATTCAGAAACCTTTTCCCATGCAAACCAAAAAATGAAACTGAATTCAAGAGCTTGATTGAATAATTAAGAAGAGTATATAGATTCAAAAAACTATCAAGTGACTACATAGTTTAGAAAAAGCAATTACTAGTAGAACCCACACAGTTAACAACATCAAAGAAGTACAACTTCCTTATACAAGACAAAACAAGCACAATTCAATTCATAATGGAAGTGAAAAACGAATATAGAATTTCGGAAATCCTCCCTATTAACTATACTACAGTAAATTATACCAACAAACCTGACCTCCCTTCAAATCACACCAATATACTCTATATGAATCTCACTATACCAATCACAGCACCCAAATTACTTGTCGATATAGCAAGAGAATTAAGAAAACATTACTTTTTCTGACAGCTACCAAGTGAATGGATTGATATACCTAAGAAAGAGAAAGTACAGATCACAAGCAACCAAAAACCACCCATACCAACAAATATAAATAACCTCCAATAACAGCTTGCTACCTTAGATCCCAACCTAAAATTACAACTCTCCATTAAAAAATATAAAGAGATTGAAAACACCATAGACAGTATTAGCACTTACTTCAACGTTAGCTCAACACCAACATACCTCCACGACCTCCCAGATCTACCCTTACCAGAATGGGATATCTTCGACAACTATGCACCTACTCCATGATAGTGGCACCCCAAGATGTAGCCGACTCTATGTTGGAAGATATTTACACAACTTATTGCACAAACTAACCAAAATGAACCTGCTAATATAAATCAACAAACTTTACTAACCACCAGTTCAAGACCACCTAATAATACTTTACAAACTTAGCTTCCAAAAGACAGAAATTTAAACTCCAGCCTCGGTATAGCAGTTTACAATGTACAAGATATCAATATAAATCTCAAACTACAAATCTGATTACAATACTGCTCAGAACAGAACATAGACATATGTATTATGACTGAGACAAAACTCTTGGCATAGCACTGCCACCCTTCAAGCCTTACCAATCCATGGTACAGAATCTATATGGCAAACTGTGATGACTACAATGCTTCATTTTGGCAATCAGTAAAAGGAGTAGCAATAGGATTAAGACTGGACCTGCAACCATAAATATATGACATAAAAGCAATCCTGGAATATGTACTGCTTATTGATCTCTACCTTCCTAACAGGAACAAAACTAGGATAATAGGAATCTATATTCCATCTGTTAACTCCAAAACATCAAATGCAGCCCAACAAATAGTAATTAACTAGATCTAGCAATCAAGATCGCTTAATTACAATATATTAGTAGCAGGAGATTTTAACTCCAATATATCAAAGAAAAAGCCCTCAATATTAATTAATTACTTAAATACCTCTAGCTTAGTTAGCACACTACAGTTCTATAATATCGACAAACCAACCTGAAACAGCCAAAGCTCTTCAAGCCAGATTGACAACACCTGGACAAACCAAGAAATAATATTAGATATCAAACAGCCACTAATCCTATCATCAGCATTCTCAACAAACAGTGACCACAAAGTTATTCAATCCAGATGGTACATTTCCAACAGTATTAAATTACCTTGTTAGAAGAAAATCAAATACAAAATATATAACTATGCAAACACAAGTCATGAAAAATGAAATGATTTCAAAGCCTATATCGAGGAACTAGTTAGATTATCTCCCACAACTTACAAGCTAATAACAAACACCTAATTACTTGACAAGGCCTGGAACAATTTGCAACAAATAATCAAACAAGCAGCCAATAAACATATACCTTTCTCCAAAATTTCAAATTCTACTCATCTCAAGCAACCAAGCTACATCACAACTTCAAACTAGTCAATAAACTACTAACTTCTCTTACACAGTTCACACCTCTATTGACAACCTGGTTAGTGAATAATGCGAACGGAATACTCTGAGAAATTGAATCAGCAGACTTACTAGTCTCACAGATATTCCCATATGATTTAGAAACACCAAACTTTAACCAGAAGATCAAGGAGCTAAAGGAACTAAGGAAAGCCCTATTCATCTCACGCAATACCAAAAACCTACAACAACAGAGACAGATTATCCACAACAGGATCTTAAAATATCAAAACAACTTTCAAGATAATACGGAAAAAATGATAAATAGTATTCTTAAGCATCAACAACAACACATTAGCTCAATCAATGTTACGTTACTATCAAAATTCATTACTAACCCGACACTAATAAAAAAGGCAACGTCAGAGCACTTTGAATGCTAGACCGACCACAATCCATTAAACTAGAATCTTTGGCCTGAATAGCAGGAGTACTACTAACCAATCTCAACTATTAAACCCGAGTACTATGATAGTCTAATCCAACCAATCACCATAACAGAATTAGTGGAAACCATTCAGCAATCACCAATAGCCAAAGCACCAGGCCCATCATTAATTTCAAACGAAATGTTAAAGCACTTACTGAAAGTCGCACTATCTAACATTCTTAACATATTCAACACATGCTTTCAGCTTAAAACTATACCATCAACATTTGGTATGGCCAATCACAAAAAGTGAATACAAGGATGGAGATTTATCCAGAACACGGCCCATTACGCTAATTGAACATTTAAGGAAAATCCTTACAAAAATTATAACTAACCGTATCAACCAAATTTTAATTAAGCTAAACGTGTTATCAGAATATAATAATGTTGCTCTACCAGAAACATCTACTGCCCAACCAATAAATCAGCTAATACATATCAGAGAAGATGCAGTCGCAAATAAGAAAGAACTATGGATTTTTGCACAAGACACATCGAAAGCTTATAACATAGTTCATATTTCCCTCCTGATTAAAGCACTACAAAGACTTAGAATTCCCAACCAAATAATCGAACTACTCTCAAATATCTTGAACAATCGTATCAACCAAGTCATAACCAGTATTGGACATTCACCAGCTTACCTAGTTCACAATGGACTAGACCAAGGAGAAACTATATTTTTATACTATAGAGGATATATTATGATTTACTCATGGCTAGGATAGAAAAACAAGTACAAGGATATACCATGGAGGTCAACAACCTAGTCACCAACTTAAAGATAGATTGTAATACTGCTGTAATTGCATATATGGACGATACCATATGGTTAGCTTCAAGCCGAATACAACTTGAAGACATACTAAATGTAGCAGATTCCTTTTATAAATTTGCCAATATAACTGTTAATCCAAGCAAATCAATACTACTCCACAACAATCCCACTGACAAAGAGCCAATTATTTTCCAGGAACAACACATTGGAAATCTAAAAAAAATAAAACACTTAGATTTTTAGATACATATATAGATCATACACCAACAAATGCAACAGTCATTAAACAAATTATCCGAACTTTCAACCAATAGCTAAACAAACTCAAACTAGTACACATCATCGAAAAACAAGCGATTTACATAATAAATATTGTGCTGCTAGCACAAATCAAATACCAACTTCAAAATATTCACCTTTTGCAATTCAAATGCAAGCAACTTACAACCAAATATATTAATATAGTTAAACAAAAGATATATCTAGCAAGAGGAGTACCAAATACTATATTAACAAATCTATTTATATATGGGCTACTTGATTTATCACAAATCCAGTCAATGAGCCAGATCATCTCACTAACCAACCAACTCAATGAGATAAGCAAATCATTCAAAATTTGGATTCAACAACTGCAAAATAGTGCTAGGACCAACACATCAATATTAGAAAAATTAGCAACATTCATATTCAACAAACAACATTCATATACCAATCAATTAATAACTATAGCTCATAACATGAATATAAGTTTTATCAAACCACCTATCAGTTGGCCGATTACAACTCAATTTGTGGGTACCTCAGTAAATGAATTACTAGTACAGTCAGCGTTTAATTTCAAGATCAAGGATTGTCTAAACAGGCACAATATTGTAGCAATCGAATAATTTTTGAATCAAGATTTAACCGATTTCATCACTTGGACAGAATTTCATCACAATATCCTGAGGAAGAACACCAAAATAGTACAACTATATACAACAATTAATCGCAAATCAAGCAGCACTATCGACAATATTTCCTACTATCAATTCTTATATCTGGCAGCTAGTAACCCAAGACTACAAACACCAGTGGATTATAACATTGACAAAATTAATAGGAAAAATACGTAAAACAAGAATACAACAAACTACTATCCAATATTGAAAACTAAACACAACTAATAATAAACTCTCGAAATGCACAGGGTGTTATCACAGAAATACTAATTCAAAGCACTGTAGAATAAAAATTAATGTTAATCAAATATTTAAAGTCAGGGTGGACAAAACGAAAACTTTGCACAGGAACATCAACTTCTTCCAATCACTACTGAATGCTGCCATCAATACCATGATATGAAAAACCAAAATAGTTAAACAGTCAGAACTAAACCACAGTATAATCAAAGCCTTTGACAATATTAGCAACAAAATAATGGAAATTGCAAAAACTAGTACCAAATTACAGACTACAGAAATCGGTGAAATTACAAGGGCTAATGCTAGTTGTGGTTATCAAAACCAACAACCATTTAATCCAAATCAGAAACAAGTACTAGCAAAAACCAAAAAAAATAGCAATTACAGTATTGCTAATTATAGCAATAGTCAGCACTAACAACTCACAAGTACTAATTAACACTAATTCAACTAGTATAATCAAATTTGTAGAACAAATTAATCAACACCTAAAGACGCTTGACAGAAAGAACGAAGTGTATCACTATTTCCTCAGTATACTCTATAGGCTAATGGACCAAAAACACATCAACTTAAGAATAAACCTCGAAACCAATATCAAACGATTAACAAATTCACCTATACTACTAACAGAACTAAATATAAGACCATTTCTCAATAGATTTCATTTACCTGAAATATTTGGATTACCTATCTATATACCAATGAAATTACTACTCAAAGATTTATTCAAAGCAATGAACTTAGAATGATAGACAGTACAAAAATGAATCTAACAGTGGAAATTTACCACCAACCCAATTAATTGGTAACTCACCTTCAATTTGATAAATACTGAAGACAAAGTTAACCAATGGCAAACAAATCCAGTAAAGTCGAGACTAAAGAACTTCAAAATCAAAGTCATAACCAATAAGCTACCTGATCAACTCATACTACACCAACAAAACCCAACCGAAATAGTTTCACCAGAATGTTTGAGATGTAAACATGGCCAAGAAGACAACCCACATTGGTTGATATGCCTAGCTAACCCTATAATATTTATTACAATAGTAACACAAGTCTTAAATGACATAATCCATCAATATAAATTAGATATAACAAATACTAACAAAATCATAAATAGGTTTATAGAAACACATACTCAAGAAAACTTACCTTTAGGGTTCATAACTCGGAAGATAATGTTACTAACTCCAAAAAATGAAGCAACCACGAAACTACACCACAATATTATAAAAAGAGTATATGAAGAAATTTGGAAACCAAGTAGATCTATACAACATCAAGTCATACTATCATCAATGCACAGGAATTTACAAACAGCAGTGATCAATAATCAAATAAGACATTACTTAAACACTTTTAACTGGATAAAAAATTACATTGTAAATAATCATAATCCAATCGACATTAATGACATAGTCTAGAGGTTCTTGAACCAATCTAGCTAAGATTAGGTCCGGAGTAAATTAGCTTTATCTTCTATCCATAAATAGTTAGTCATAGACCATTGTCGTAATTAACATGTAAATCTAATACAACTATAATAAAGGATATGAGAAAAGGACCTCTCTTAAAAAAAAAAAAAGTCATCCTCCCCTATAATTACACAGTTGGGCACACCCTAATATAGTGATTATAAAAAGGTGTGACTTTATAAAAGTACTTCTATACAAGCACAAATTATAAATAATATAGAAAAAGTAATTTAGTAGAGGTATTTTAAAAATTTTATATATGTTTGTAGTTAGTTTCTATATAGAAAAATTACAATTTTAATAATTAAATCAACTTTTAAGCAATAAGTAAAGTTGTTTGGAAGAATCTGTTAAATTTTTATGCAAATCAAATAATTTTTTATTAGTATTGTTTCTTATTTTACATACCTACAAATATAGCTAAAAATTTGTAATTTTTTAGCTACTATATATTCATAGGTACGCTAAATGAGAAACAATACTAATTAAAAATTATTCGATTTGCATAAAAATTTAGCAGTAGGTGTATTTTATTCTTCCAAACACCTTTACTTATTGTATAAAAGTTGATTTAATTATTAAAATCATGGTCTCACCTTAAATATTAAAAAAAAAAATTATTAAAATCATAACTTTTCTATATAGAAACTATCTATGATCACATATAAATGTAATTATGAAGAAGTAATTTTATTATTAAAATCGGTCTACAAATTCTAAAAAAATGTGATAGTGATTATAATATGATTGTGACTGTATAGAGATATTTTTAATATTTAAAAAATAGAATCATATTTTTGGTGTAATTATATAGAGTTTGTGACTATATAGGAGGACAACTGTAAAAAGAAAACACTAGCAGAATGGAAATCCTCTAATATTTTCTTAATTCCTAAGAAATCTACTTGGAATTTCACACTAAATCAAATTTGCCCTATCTCTATTATTGAACTCTTTAAAAAAATCTTTACCAAAATCTTTACAAGCTAACTTGACAAAATAATCTCCTCAAATAACCTGCTCTCAGGTCTCAACTTTGTAGTATTAAAAAACTACTCAATACATACCCCAATTCAAATTCTCCACAATACAATTGAACACTACATCTTATATAACAAAGAAGCATGAATATTGTTTCAGGACATGTCCAAAGCATTTGATAAAATCAATATTAATCGCCTACAAGATGCCTGTCACAAGATCGGCATCCCAACTGATAGCATAAATCTAATTACTGAACTACACACCTCTCGTCTAGCTAGAGTAATCACTGCACATGGTCTCACATCACCAATTCATATTAAATCTGGCATAGAACAAGGAGAAACCTACTCTCCTTTACTATAGAAGATCTATTATAATCCTATTCTTACCTATATTTCTCAAAAATACAATAACTCCTTTCTTAAAATATCTACACTCTCACCACTTGATATTATTTCTAATTCAAACTCTACCTCTATCACTATTCCACCATTAGCCTATATAGATGATACCATTTGGCACTGTGAACATTCTGAAGATCTACAAAATATTCTCAATGATGCCTCTTCCTTATACAAAATCAATAACATAGAAGTCAATCCAACAAAATCTGATCTGCTTCATATATCCTCCAAAAATTCCAAAACAATAAACTATACTCTCACATTTAATAATCAAACAATTTCTTCTACAAAACCTACAGACATAATTAGATATCTAGGTATCTACTATGATAGCTCTGGTTCATCCAAACCAATCCTTGATACAGTATATAACAAAATAGAAAACTTTCTAATACTTATTCGCTATAAAAAATTATTACCCTCTCAAATTTCCTCTTTATTCAACCTTATACTACAACCTTCTTTAGAATATCTATTACAAATTATCCCAATATACAAAAACAACCAAACCAAACTTTCTCGACTTCTCTCTATACAAACAAAAAGAATGCTTTCACTTGCTAAAAATACTCATAATATTGCTTTAACTAATCCACTTACTTTTAACTTACCTACTCTTAATAACATAATACAAAAAGTTAGTGCTTCAAATACTAAACGTATATTTAATTCTTTTCCACTTCTTCACACTATTGGCATTGCTTATATTAAATCCTGGCTCTTCAAAACTTGGTCATCCAATCTATCAAATGAAATACTTTTCCGTTACTATCGTAAAACACAAAACTATACTCTCCTTTTCCATCTCTCACAACTAGCTAAAAATAATATAACAATCTTCTCTATTCCCCAAATCGCAACTTTCTCTCCTTTTATTTTAGAACACTCACATCTAATCTATGATATACTCCCACAACTTCTAATAATCTTACAATTAACAGTCTCAAAAATAACAAAATTCTTTTTATTGAACAAATTACAATAGCAAATAATAATTTTCTACTACCATGGAATAATATTTACCTTCACACAAACAAAGCAACTAGAGGTTTCCAATCTCGCTAGTTTACACAACTTCTACAAAATATACAATCAAATTCTATTCAAACTACCTGGCCATATCTTCAACTACCTTCAACAAATTGTTTTATTAATACTACCAGTTTAATATCCCTAACAAATTCAGCCTTTCCAACTCTTATCATATAATTCAAATATAATTGTCAATCAATCAAACCTTCAACAAATTATTTACTACCAAATCATCTTATCAACCATACAAACTGAACAAACAGGACTTATGGAACTAACAAAAAACCAATAATACAACATCTAACTCAACACTTATTAATCTACTATATAAACAAATTAATTTTAAAAAGCCATTCTTACAAATAGACTATAAAGAGATTCTTGCAATAATCAATATATCTAAAAATCTTACTATAACTTCAACTCCTTCCCTACACCAACCTCAAATCAATTTATCCCCTTATGAAATACATCTTATACAACATACCATTAAAACACCTAGCTACCAAAACCACCTAATTCAACTATACAACAATATCTCAAACTTAAACACAACTGACTTACAATTCTATACGGATGCTTCTATTAAAAATCTCTTAACACCTAATATACAAACCGGCATTGGTTGGATCTGTGAAAATGACTCTTTTATTAATTTTTGCACAGCAATTCCTCCTTCTCCTGACTCTACTTGCTCAGAACTAATAGTAATCATTCCTCTAATTCTTACCTTACCAATTAATTCTACACTTATTATTTATATAGACAATCTCTTAGCAATTAAAGGCTTATCAAATCCTACATCTCATAAACTCATTCAACAAAAAAACTGGAATATTATCTTTATCATCAACTCACTTATAATAACTAAAAATATTTCTATTAATTTTATTAAAGTTGAATCACATTCAAATAATTCTTTCTATAACCAAGCTAACCTTTTAGCCAAATGTGGCATATTTAAACTAATTATAGAAATCCTTTCTTCACACTTTAATCTTTCTACTCACTTTATTTAGTACAACTATACAATAACACTTAAAATTCGTTCATTCATCAAAAGCACTATTACAATTCAAGAACTTCTCTCATAGACCTTTCTCAAATTCTTTAATAATTATACATCCGATATAAATTAGAATCTTATTTTCAAAATTCTCAACTCTCTTGAGCATTGCTCTTCAAAATACTCCTTCTACATTAAAGTCCTTACAAATAACTTGCCTACTATACAAAATCTTAAAATCCAATACTCTAATCTTTATACAACAGATAGCTATTGTAAATGCTCTGCAATAAAAAATACTCTTCACATACTTTTATGTCCAAAATATCCGACAATCACTTCTTAATATAACCTCAAACACATTAAATCAACTCGAAATTATATTTACTCTATCAATTACAATCCTTAATACTCTTTTACAAGCTATATTTAATTCTATAAACTTTCAATATAATTTTTTACTTCCTACTATTCTTGGCATTTACTCAAAACCAATTTATTATACTCTTAAAACTCTATTTAAAAAACAAACTGAATCATTTATGATCAGTTTTTTAAACAATCTCTTTAAATAGTTCTATTATGAAATATGGCCTCAACGAAATATACACCAACACCAATGGGAATTAGCCCGAAACATTACTAATAAAACCAAACATACTAAATTCTCTCTGCCTCTCATCACTAACCAATCAAGCACAGAAACATCTACTACTCAACTACCAAATTCACGCTCTACTATTGAAAAATAGTACTTGCAAGGATTTTCACTAACAACATGCCTTATATAATGTTATAATACACACCTTAGAGTTTTCTCCAACCTATCCTAGCTAGATTTATTTTATTCATTTAAACTAATAATAGCACTAAAATAGGAAATAGGAGGTGTAATGTCACATTGGGTGCTTTGTAGCACAAGTGTAGCTAGAAATCTTTAACCATAGAAATTATTTTCTAATCAAACTTCTCATAATTTACTTGTTCAAGTTGAAGAGTTTTGGCAGCCTAATTATAAATAAATAACTTATCTGTTCCCTTACCTGAATCTGTAAACTACAGAAAAACTTTCAATCTTTGGACTGACTGTAATAAAGTTTCTACTATGACATTATTATAATAATAATAATAATAAAAAAAAAAAAAAATTTAAAATTAATATTTTTTAATATAGTGCACTATTAGGTGCATCTATGTACCAAAAAATTTAATAGTACACCACTAAATTTATGTGTGTACTAGCAACTCTAATCTTAAGAGACACCAAACTGGAAACAAAAAAAGCATTTACCAATATGAAAGTCAAATAAGAAGTAAATTAGAAGTAATATAATTGGTAAAAAATATAAATTAACTAGTACAAGTAGTATATAACAGATATAAATAGAAATAAAAGTTAATTGTTAAGAACTATCTAATAATATACTAACTAAGTTAGTACAGGTTTGGTTAATAAGAAAATAAAATTCTAATATAGTATATTATATATAGATATTCTATAAATAACTAGATAAGTTAATATAGATAATATATAGACAAATTAGGCTGTAATTAGATCTGTATAATTAAAAATATATAATAATTATATTAAGATCTAATAAATATATTAGCAAGACTGCTAAATTTAAAAAAATAATAATAATATAACAAAGTAAAACCTGCATTACTAATTAATAAAATTTAAAATAACTATATATATATAATCTATATTGATTATTTAAAATATATAAAATTTGCTTTTAAATATTAAAATATTTAAAACTTAGTTTTAAATATATAAAACTTGCTTTTAAAATACCAAAATAGTAAAATCTACTTTTAAATCTAATAAGATAGTTTTAACTTTAAGAGATATTTTCTTAGCAACTATTGTTACAAAGCAAATTGTAATACAACATAATATTGTATAGATTATAGTTTATCATATGCGTGGATTTTTGGATTTACTGTTTATTTTGACGCACCCCAAAATTTCAGTTATACAACATGCAGGTGCGTCAACCAATAAAAATTTAGAATAAAATTACTATCTTATCGCATATTAACTATACTTGTTAATTACCCTTTTGTTAGTTGATTTCTTATCAGAGTTTCGTCAGCATACGCTCTTGTCCTTTTCAATTTTAGGTTACGCTTTTGTCAGAATGATTTTGGTTTTGACAGAGTTGCGCCTTTTGTCTTTCACTGGCCAGTTTTGGGATTCGCCTTTTAAGTAAAAAAAGTCAATAGCTAAAAAACGTTGAAACTAAAAAAAAACTATAGTACTTCATGATGCAAAATGTGGGATCTCTAAAGGTGGGTATTTTTTTTAACTACTTATTTATAATTGCGAAGTATATATGTACTGTACTGTACTTAAAATCTTTTTTTACAACACTCCATTACAACATAATATCCCCGGATCTTTTATAAGCTTTTAGTTAGTTATTTTGATATTTTATTAGGCCTGGATCTTTTAGTTGGTTCACTATGGTAATTCGTAATCTAATGATCAGAACTAAACAACTTATAACTGCTGAATATTTAATATTTGAATGAATAATATATGGATTGTTCAATTTTGCACACTACTGCACTAGGTTATCCATATTAATATAAGCGATTTTAGTACAATACTATTTTTTATGTTTGAATGCTGCTAATGAATTTTTATGTTATTCTAATAGCAGGCTTAAGTTTTTTTAATATAATAAGGCGCTGGTTTTTTTAAAATAAAATGATATAAAAAAATCACAGTATAATTTTCCGTGATAATTTTATAGATATAATAACAAAAAAAAAAAAAGATTTACAATTTAGTCAATACTCAAGGATTATTTTAATTTGAAGTAATAATATTCTCAGGTATCATATTTCAGAGACAGGAGTAATTGTCATTTTTTGACAAGTCGGATTCTATCTTAGCAGACTTTTGAAAACGAATAAATACCTTCCTTATATACTCATCTTTTCCAACTCAGAACCCATAATGATCAAATATATTCGCTTTAAAGCATAACCCATTTCGAACGATTTTTGAAAATGAATAATTGTTTTATTTTCATCTATTTAACTATAAATTTATTTCGATAGCAGGTACTAGCATGAAACGTTCCATTAGAATTTCCCATATCACCAGACTTTTTATAAGAAATAAATAGCTCGTGTTCATTCTTTTTAGCTTCGAATAGACTATTTTTGTGATTGATGTTCTAAGATATATAATCATAAATAATAGTATCATACCATTTGCTATTTTTTTCATTCTTATGCTATTTCTGGTCCAAGTCAAAGGACCATTGATCCGGATTTCACCCAATTTGCATTGTGGAAAAAAAAATAACATAAACTAAAGTCGAGTAAATATACATACTAATTAAATGTGTCTTGAAATAGAATACCTTAACTAGTAATTCTTCTGTATCCACGTAACATGTTAAATTAATGTCTTTAAATTCGAAGGAATGAATGTTCATTGTGATAGATAGTTTATAAAGAATCAAACTATACTTTTAATATAAAATGCTAAAAAAAAAAAATCAAAATTTTAAATAAATGAATCATATGATTTGAATTAATAAAAATTACACATGTACAAACAAATACCGTAATGTATCGCCTTTAACACCCAGCTCTTATTAAAAAGAAATTAGATTATATGCTTTTGGGCATTTAACCAAGAGTAGACATATAAGCTGGAGTACTGAGATCCGTCCAACTTATAATATTTAACTTCGGTCTTATACAAAGAAGATGATAAAGAAAATACTAAAGGTATGCATTAGTTCCTTCAATAGCTTTTTACAATTCTGGCCCATATATCCAAAAAAAAATTTATTATTCACTATCTGATCTAAATACTCACCTACAACACTATTTGATATAAGAAATAGCGAATGACTAAACAACACGAATACGTTTTTGAACAATAAAAATCCTTTTAAAGATAATATACCTAGATCGCCTTTATAAGATGTAAAATATTGGTAAACTATTTTTAACTAACTCGTGAAAAATAGAGTCGGTATTTAGTTCCTTATAAAAATTATATAGATTCTATATTAATTAGTTTGCTCTTCAAAAATTAAAATCGCCAGCAAAAAAGAGAAGTTAATTGATTATCCAAACATACTTCTATTATACTGGTTATACTGTACTATATATATATCATAAATCAGTACTCAGTACTACATATTAAAAATATCAATATATACTGAAAGAGGATTTTTTTGATACAATTATATTACTATTTATATATAAATATCAATAATACAAGTTATTATGTAGATTATATAGATTATATATATATATATCTATATGAATTAACACCACTTTAATTAATCTACGATGCTGTATAAAAAGATGTTTAAAAAAACCCACATTCTTTTGAATATTTTGTTTTTAATGAGAACATCAAATTTTAAATGTCAGTTATGTCTTTGGCCAATATTTTTTTGTTTAAAAAAACTGTTACGTATCATATTTATGAATATATACTACACTACAATTTTACTATAAAAAGTAAATACATTTATATTTTTGGCTAATACAATTAGTTTGAACTAGCCGGGTAGGGAAGATGAGATAGCTAGTGCTAGCACTAAAGTTTAACCATCAATAATTATTGTTATAATTGAATCGTACAAGAATGTGTAACAAACATAAAAAAATTTTTTTCTAATTTATATACCGTATCAGGCATATACAAGTTTTTAATTTGAAATACTTTAAAATATCAAAAAGCGTAACAAGAAAAAAACTTGAAGGGACGATAGATCAGTTATCCACATGATAACTTAGTTTTTTAGAAAAGCAAAAATAGCAACTACAACTATACAATTATAAATTTAGGTGCACTTCCTTTAAAATCTAATCTTAAATATACACAAAATCTGGGATTATATCCTATTCCTAACAACTATAAAGTTGAAGTTTTTTGGAGGCATAAAGATAAAAATCACATTCAAGCATCTATTGATTATGTTGAAAGAATTCTGAATTTTACAATTGAATAGATATATAATAAACAAAAATATATTGTAGTTTCACAAACTTCGCCTTCAGATGCAACTAACAAATATTGTAATACGTAGATTTATTATTTATATATATTAATTTATAAATTAATAAATTTTTTTTTTCTTTTTTTAAGATTCAATATCCAGGAAAAAAAACTGCATTTTCTGGAATACTCATTTTTGGACTACAAATATATAAGGAGCTAACTAAAACTATACCAAAGAAGAATTATCTGCGATGTGTTAAACCTCTTAATGATCTTAGCAATTATTCACATAGAAATAGAACTAAAAGAGCAGCAAAAAGTTTATTTGACGATTTTGAATCAAAAAAAAATAAAATTTGGAATCCGAAAGATAATCCTAGACTTAAAGAAATAGTAATAGAAGTGGGTAAGCAGCCATGGTTAATAAAGTTTAATAAGGATCAACAATTAGAAAAAAATAAGTCACAAAAAATAATTCAAACAATGGATCAATCCAATGTTTCACAAAAAGGATATAGAGCTCTGACAGTCACTTCATATAATTTACCAAAAGAATGATTAGTTAGTAGGAAAAAGTATAAGATTGACGAAATAATGCAAAAGCATATTCTATTATTAGAATTTGGCATGAAGACACAAATACAAGATGATAATTTAAATGATTCCAATGAATCTAATGATTCAGATGATTCAGATAAATTAGACGAATCAGATGATTTAGATAATGAAAAAGTTACAAATACATTAGAAAAGGGTGCTACTGTAATATATCTACAATTCTTCAATTTTTTATACCAAAACTTGTTGCAAAGCAAGTTCTTAATTATAAAACTCCTATAATATACTTGCGGATCTCAGGTGATAGAAGAAATGTCAAAAAGAGAATAAAGCATGTAATGGTAACATTAGCAGTTCTAAATGATCAAGAAAATCTTATAAAATCTGAAAATCACTATACAATTTCTCTGTTTTCTGGAACAGAAAAGTATATATCCCTTAAAACTGCTTTAGAACTAATTCGTTATGAATTACAAAATTTGTGTAACTATGGTTTTACCAATAATTACCAACGACAATGGAATATTAAAGTTTTTTTCTTATTAGATTAGAAATTTTTGGTAATAATTTTGGGATTTAATGCACCTAATGCATTTAACTTCTGTCCCTGGTGTCTTTGTACAAAGGATTTAATAGGCGATTTAAGCCAAAATTGGCAAATAACAAAAGAAATAGATCAAATTAAGGAAAATTATCAAAGTTACCCAGGTTATATTCATCCACCTATATTAGACATGATTCCTATGACCAATTATGTTGTAGACCAACTTCATCTAATGTTGCGATTAACTGATCACCTGTAAGAATTGGCTTTAAATGAATGCAAAAATAACAGACACTTTGTAGATGAAATGAGAGATCTAATATGCGAAGAAATAAGCAACATTGGAGTAAAGTTTGATTTTTGAAAAGACAAGAATACAAAATTTTGGAAATTTACTTTGTTAATGAGTCTGGACAAGTTAAAAATCATAGAAAATTTTAATCTAAATATAATGTTATCACCAACACGTGCTACTAAAATTCAAAAACTCTGGTTAGGATTTTATGAACTTTATAAAATATTAAGTCAAGATGGATTATCAGAGAATCAATTTCGTAGTAAAGCTCTTGAATGGTTAGATATGTTCTTAACACCTTCCTGAATTATCCCTGGTACTAATACATTAAATAAAGGATTATATATACCAAGTGACATAACACCCTATATGCATGTTCTAATATACCATGTTCCTGAATTTCTTGACACTCATTTGCAATGGGGACTTGGTGCATTTTTTTGTCAACCTATTGAAAAAAAAAATCATCAGCACATATTAACATTTTTCAGAAAGACACTAAAAGATGGCGGTAAAAATTACTCTCAAAAGTCAGCTATATTGGAAATATTAGAAATAGAAAATAGAGCACTATATTTTTGGAGATTTGACAAAGCATTAGCATTGTCTAAGTATAAGAAACTCAGTATTATTGGTTCTGATAGAAATGAAGAAAGTCGTAAAAATTGAATGATTGAATGTATTATCAACCACAAAACTGGATATTATCATAATAGAAATGTATAATATAACTGGTTAAATGAACTATTTTGATAAATATAAAGTTAGTATTTGAAGAACTTTCATGCTAAATCATTACAAAGTAAGTGTAGCCACACTTTAATATTAGTTCAACATTTGGTTTTTTGTATTGAGTTATAATTTGATATCAATATTACATGATTTTGATATATTAAGAATATTAAATAATAGATATCAGATTTAAATTAGCATCATGAATAATGCATTGCTTGTTTATTGTACAAATATTTCACTATCACTATCTCTATATTGTAATCATATTATTACCCTACGTCAAGAATTTACAGATCACGTTATATGCGAATGCATATAGAAAGGCACTACATATTTTTAAATTTGTCAATTTTTAATTATTAAAAACAAGCTAATATCGAGTAAACCAAATTTAAATAATAATTACATGATTAAATTTATAAATATACTTAATAGTATACACATATCATATCTTGACAATTACCTCTTAGGATAAAATTACTTATCTGTAAGTTGATATAGATTAATAAATAATGTAAACTGTATATTCTAAATATGTAAAACTTTAATATGTATTAATAATTTGAAAAATCAAATATAGAATATACAATTTTTGAGTGTAGTTTTTAAAAGTAAAAAATTTGCATCCAACCATTGTGCTAAATTAGAATCAGAGTCGGAATTTTGAGCAATTTCTTATCTAATAACCTGACCCCAATTTTTTCTTAATCTATATTTAAATTGTTAAGCTTTAAAAGAAAGAACAAGGCACTTTTCGAATGATTTTTATAATCTTCAGAATCAAAAATAATAATTGAATGCTACAATAGCGAGACCCTACTAATCTAAATATAATAAATTAAGCTAATTAATATTTGTAAATTTGCAGTAAAAGTTGTGTATCTATTCAGCAAAAATTAATATCTTGAGCATATATTCTTGTATATAAACAAATAAATTAATGGATGATATATAGAATAATGGGAAAATCGGGTACGTATTTATTAAATATCACTTAAAATTAATCACATTGTACAAAAAAATTCTAGAATAAATTAATTAGATGGATATGCAGTTGTACGTAACGCATCCAAAAATGCTTCTCATAA